CAATAATGTACAGTATTTGAAAAATAATGTGTTTTTTGAACATTAAAGCATGTCAACATATTCTGTTACACCAAATACACAAAATAATAATCTTTAAAAAAGCATCATATGACCCCTTTAAAACTTCCAGTACTGATATTGTTTTCATAAACTAAAACAGAACTGAAATGAAATCAAATTGCTTAATTACTTCCAATAAAATGGGGTGAAAAAAATGAAAATTAGAAAGGATTTATATAATATGATTATTATATGAAATAAAAAATGTTTAAGTATTCAAAGAATTCAAACTAAACCTAAAACTAAAAATTAAAGCTATACAGAAACATTATTTTAAAAAATACTAACAAAAATGACAAGCACATAAACAAAATAGTCAAAAACAACAATGAAAACTAAACGTATATAAAGGCTAATTCAAAATATTAATAAATACTATAATAATGTAGAAATAATACCAAAATAACACTGTTCAGTTCACACAGAAACAACTCTTTTATAAAAATCGGATTAATTTAATGAATCCACTCAGCAATAAAGTGATAGGATGAACTTGTTTAGAAAGATATGACGGATCAACAAGTCATATATGATATATTCATCATGAGATGCATCAACATCTGTTTATTTAGAAGAAATCAACTGAATGTCATCTGTGATTCTGTGGCCTCACCTTGTGGATCTGCCTTCTTGAAGGCGTTTCCCGCATCGATGTAGCTGGTGGCCGAATCGTGTTTATTCTGAAGCTGCATGTGAAGTCTGGCCGCCTGACAGAAAGCATTGCCTGCAGCTGGATACAAACACACAAACCTCGTCAGAAGAATATGAATATACAATAAACATCATAATATATCCTGTCAATTACAAACAATTATTCAAGATGACACTAATGAGATTATATTCATTCAGAAATATTTATATTTTAGCAGTTGAACGTATATTAAAATGTACGAATTAAGGGTTCGTATTCAAACTATTTGAATGTATATTACATAGTGACATTTTAAGCATTATATAATACAATAAAGATGAAGCACGTCATGTCTGCACCACTAAAAAGCACATACCACTCCAGTTTTTGGCCATTTTGAACATGTTGGCTGCTCTGGCGTACATCTCACATGCCTCTTCCACTTTTTGATTTCCTCTGAAAGACGTGGGAAGATGCAGTTATATGCTTTTCGCACTTTAATATCTTAATGAAAACTATCATGTTTTCCTAATAAATCTACAAGCCAGAAGGTAAACGCTTTATAAATACTGGTTAGGATCAGTGTTGGGGAAAGTTACTTTTAAAAGTAATGCATTAAAATATTGCGTTACTCCATAAAAAAGTAACTAATTACGTTACTTAGTTACTTTTTATGGAAAGTAATGCGTTACGTTACTTTTGCGTTACTTTTTAAATCTGGACAGGGCTTGCATGTTTGTTTTTAAAATAAAAAAAGTTATATTTTTGGCAAATATAAAAGCCTTTTCACACCAAAAGTGAAATGAATAAGCCTCAGGTTGAAGGGAAAGTAAATTTACGTCCGTACAGTAGAATGCAGAAGAAGAAATTTCAACACACTTCAGCAATAAAAAAAGACACACAAATGTTTGTCTAGAGTAATTTTTGCTTATTAGTATGGTTAAACTGGATCATCGAAGGTCAAAAGCAAAGCCATTGGTTAATAGAATGGTATTAAATACATAAAGGATATTTGTGTTGTTTAACATTTAATTATTGCAGGTTTGCGTCATATTCTGAGTTGCATTATTTTTATTAATTTTGAGGAATACTGAATCTGTGGGGGGTTTTTTGTGAGTGAGATGAATTAATGCATATTCATATTTATTTTAGAACTACAGAAACATCTTCTGATTTCTCTCAACATGGGGACAGGAGAGCTGTCAATCAATAAATTGGAAAAAAAAAGTAACTTGCGTTACTTATTTGAAAAAGTAACTGTTTATGTTTATTTTCTTGTAAATTAAAAAGTAATGCGTTACTTTACTAGTTACTTGAAAAAAGTAATCTGATTACGTAACTCACGTTACTTCTAATGCGTTACCCCCAACACTGATAGTGGGCCACAAAGTCAACAAAAGTTTGTGAGCTCCACATGAGGTATAAGCATAATTATTTACTCTAATATGAATGAGCAAAGCATTCAGCTCCTGCATACACCCAGCTATAATTACACAAGGCTAGATTAAGTGAGTAAGAGGTTACACTGTTGTCAACCTCCCACTCACTCACTCACTCACTCACTCACACTCTCACAACCTTGTTAACAGTGCAGGGAACCTCTTTTGCTTTGGTAGACTGCCATAGGTAGATCAGTAAGGTTGTCCTGTTGCACTGCTGAAGCTTTTGACTATCTATTTTGTCTTTCTACCCAATTACTAAAGCATCACCACTCCACCCGGTGAGGAATATGCCCAAGAGAACAGATCCTCACAAGCATTGGGTCAGTTTTTAAGTGCCTCATATCATATTAATTCAAACTATTTGAAATCAATCCATTTCACAACATACTAGGTCAGAGCTTGTTTACTAGAAATAACACTGAATATGTTCTGAATATGTTTGCGGTGTCAATAAAGCATCTCACTGTTTCTGTCGACACCAGCCTCTTCAAAAAAATACGGATGTAAACTAAAGAATGGCTATAATCAGCCATTTTTGTAAGGTGTAAAACCATAAGTTATAACTATTAAAATAAGATTTCATTTTTTTTTTTTACTTTTAAATATATATTTTAAAATAAGTTAAATGTTAAAATTGTAATTTATTCTAATAAACGAATATTTAGTTTAATTTGTCATAAAATTTATAATCAGTACACTTATAAATATTTTATTGTACTACATTTAAGATGAATATTAAAATAGTACCATATTTTATTTCACATTAACTTTACATTATTGTTACATAATGTGTAACAGATTAAAAATACAGATCAAGTACATATATAAACATTACTAAAAAAATAAATAATTTGAAGCCCATATATAAATATGTATAAAGATGGTAGTACTATTGTACGTGTTACCTTTCTATTAATATTATTAGAGTGACATAAAAGCAAAAAAAATATGTAAATACTGCAGCCACTGCGCCACTAATGCACCAAACACAAAACACTTCACTTAGTGGCCCAATCATGAAATCACATCAATTATTATCATTATTTAAGTCATTATGATCATGCAAAAATCTTTTTTTTTTTTAAATCAGCTATGCATTGTAATGAACAAGCCCTTTTTTCTATCGATTGATGCGCAAAGCGGCCTGTCAAAGCTTGGGTCCTTGTAACGTTACAATAAAATCCATATATATTTGTAGTTTTTATGCAACTGGTAAACATAAAACCAAAGGTTAGAGCAACATGATCATACTGACAATATGATATTTTAACAGACTAACGTTAGCGGGCTGAACGGATAACTAGGGAAGGAAGCATGTATTTAATCTTACCCAAACATTCCTCCTAAAAACGAGCCGGAAGACTTCACTTTCTTATCGGCTTCAGCCATGAGCTGAATTGCCTCCTTTTCTTTCCCGGAACTGTCCATTATTTCTGTGGTTAAATGCACAGATAAACACTAAAATCTCCTTTCGTTTATCTGCCCGCTTCTCTTGCGCTCTGTCACTATGGCAGCGGGGGATTACTGTCATTGCGTTTATTAAGCGTGGGCGTTCAGGACGCTCGAGCAAAGCATTATGGGATTTGGAGTTTTGCGACCAAGCTTAAATAAACGGCCGTTAAAAAGAATCGAACACAAATAAACTACAACTCCCATAGAGACTCATAAATGCGCGTTACGTAATATTGCACTATTATATTGTAAGAAATTATGCCTGACTTCATATTGAAATCATTGTAGCCGCAATTTTATCAACTTAACGTTATAAGAACAATTTGAACTAAACAATAGCTGAATTAATTCGCGATTTGTAGTCGTTTAAATCTCCAGAATATGGTCAAATTAATTTTTTTTTTTTTTACTTTGATTAGATTTGTAGTTTAGTTTAGGTAGAGTATGTGAAGATAAAACATTGTAGGCTTAATTTTGCTTCATTATTGGTTTGCACAGCTCAAATAGGCTACAATTTGCATATAAAGAGAGCATGCTTTCACCACAATATTGATTAGGCCTAATCGGCAACAAGGTCCCGCACTGCCACGGCAGGTTATTATGACGAAGAATAAATGCACATTCCATACTGAGCACTAGATGGTACTGTAGATCACCAGACTAGTTCATATTCCGAAGAAAGCCTATTTAGGAAAAAAAAAATACACCTGTAATATTTTGTTTTCTTTTAGCATGAAATTAAAATGAACTAATAAGATTTCTGCCTTTACTAATTGTGAATTTACTATTTTATCCAATATGGTAAGACATATTGGGACATGAAAAGGTACTGAATAACAAGAATAACCAATGTATAAACACAAATGTGAGATACATTTTAACAGTGCATATCTGGAAGTGTAAAGACACCAAAACAGTGAAAGAAGAAACAGGCTAAAGTAGAACTTTATAGCAGTATACACTTTCAAAACTCAAATCATCTTCAAAGCACAGTAAAAGCGTCACACCTTTCCTCTGTTTATATCAAATTCATTTCAGGAAAGGGCGGTTTGTTTCCTTTCCTCTGCACTCTTATTTGCAGCAATGTGAAACACACGTAGCCAACTTGTATTGGCTGTTTTAAAACTAGCTAGACAGCATCTCTGGGCATCACAAGTGGCTTCAGAATGTGAGCAGCTCACTATGATTTGAGACACAGCTTTTAGAGAGGAAGGGAGTTTTGCTGGTGATTTTCCTTTGATGTTTATAGGTATAATGTGGTAGAACAACTGAAATTCTCACCTGCGGCCAGAGCAGAATGTTAAATATTAATGGACACGACCACAGCTGCAGAATGACATTACACACCAAAGGGTCAGATAAAAGAGCACTTTAACATGAAACATTTAAACACATCTAGTGCCCTTTAGTGAAGTCAACTTGCTCTAACATTTACAATCATCCTGTACCAAAGATTTATATTCTTGATGAAAACTTGTATTTACAACTACTGCCGTTTTATTTCTCACCTACCTTTTTTTTTTTACTTGAGATTTATTCAGCCCCAGCCCTTTAATGTAAAAATTACACGCAATGTTTTGTACATAATTTCAGTCTTATAGTGTATGTTTTTAATTAAATGTTTATTTATGCCACCATGACCTGGTCCTGGAAATTAAATAATTATGAATATTGAATATTTTTTAAATATAAATTATATTATTTTTAATGCTCAATTATTTTCAGATAGTTTAGCATTATAACAATTATTGTTATTATTAATAATATATATTTTTTTATATTTCATATTTTTCATTCAAAGTCTACCCGGCAATATTTGCATACTAATTTAAGATTGGTCTATTAGTGATTGGATTTTTTTTGGAGTTTTTCTTGAGAAAAACGTCATATGATTTATTAATGGAAAGAAAAGTATATGTTGTTTTACTATATAGTGCACTATAAGATGCATTAGCCATTTTATAGTCTGAATTGTAGTGTACACTTTCATTCCTATCCTATGTAGTGCACTACTTTCTTCCCATAATGCATGATCTTATAAATAGTGTACAACCGATGTATTATAATGATTTTGGTATCATCCCGAACAAAAAAAAAAATATATATATATATATGGATTTCATTGGTTTTAAATGTGTTTATTCTGGCTCTCAGAGCTTGTTCTGGTGTATGTTGGCATGGTGACACCCACAACACTGAGTGTGGATTCATACAGCAAGCTGCTGGAGTCCAGTGTGGCACTGAACAGCAAACATGCAGTATAAATACATGCTGAGAGATGAGACCACACTGATGCTCAGCAGCATATACCGGTTTACAGAGGCACATTCATTCAAATATACACCCATTTACAGTAAAGAGCCAATAGTCAATTGCACATCTGAATAAAAAAAGATGAAATTTTGTTCTGCTGAAACCAGAATGAATCTGTGGATGGATACAGTAGTGAAGAAATAATAACAATATACAAGGGAGGATCATGTTTATGAGCGTCTTTTTAAAGGCAAGACTCTCAAAATCTTTTAAGAGATTTTTAAAGAGGCAGGCCTCACTTTTAGCTACTGAAATGCAATAGCTATTTTAAATAATTGTAATTATTCAGTTATATTTGCGTGGTATAATAATCCTGCATTTTTGTTGTTCAAGAAATTAAAATACTACATTGGGTGTTAATGTTCAATACTCCTTCCGCAGATAAAGAAATCGATAAATACTTGAAGAGCGTTCCCAAGAATATTACACATTGTATACACCATTTTTTGCATCCAAATATACAGCAAATTGGCTAAACCAAGCAAATATATTGCCTTTGTGGAAGCTAGCGTTGTGTAATTGTCCCCAATATCATTCTTTACACGTGATTGCACTCTAAAACATCTCAGGCTTAAGTTTGGCTTAATGACGGAGTGTATTTGTGCGTTAGTTCTGGTGCATTGTGGGAAGATTACAGACATAGAGTGAATGTGGACTGGCTGTGTGGGTCTCAAGAGGAACTGAGGCCGGAATCGGACTCCCCGTTGGCCTCCTGGGCTTTTCCTGCGCACGGAATGAGCAGGGAATGCTGTAGGTGGAGCAGGCACACGTTTGAATGACCTCCTTTAGAGTTCCCCCCTGTTCCTCTACATTGAAGATGTTTGGCTTCTCGAGCTTGTCATCGCAGATTCTGTGGATACAAAACATTATTTTAGCTGAGGGAAAGAAAAAGGAGTGTCATCTAACAAGGAAAACGCTAGAAGGAAGTTTCATTAACGTAAAAGTAGCCATCTGGGGTGAAGGGGAGGGGATTTTTCAGCCATGCCTTCATCAAGATCCTCAGTCATGCTGGTTTGAGAGCAGAAGCCATTAATCCATCCATCCATTCATTTATCCTTCAATGATTAAGTCATTGAGGTCCACGGAGGGGATTCATGCACTGTTAACGTGGCTAGTACTGAAAAATTCACAGTGGAAATAAAACAAATGCCCATCTGCACTGTAATTTGTGTAATACGGGTTGTGGGAGGGAAGCTAGGTCACCCACATAAAGAGGAAGTCTCGAAATCTCAGAATGATGTAACAGGCAGCTGAACCTTAACCCAGTGTTGAATAATTGAAATAAAAGCTAGTCAAAAACAAAACTCCACAGTTTTACGGCCTCACATCATTGCAGTAAAACACTGCGGTTCTTGTGGTGCTAGTCGGTGAGAATGATCAGTCAGGCAGCAGCCAAATGCCCATAAAAAATACAAACAACCGGGAAACAAGACATTACGGGCGTCAGAGGAAGTTGAAGCATTGGGCTTTGGCACCAAGCATTCATGTATTCTGAGAAAAGAGGCAAATTACCACAACATGGTGTGAGGAACATTTAAAAAAGGAAAAAGGGATTAAAAGTTTAAGGAGAGATGTGGAAAGAGTCAATAATGCATAGAAATATTTGGTTACCAAGGAAATAGAGTCACATCAAACAAATTAAAGGTTAAACTTGAAATCTTTTGCAGACTGTTTGGTTGGTTGGTTTTGGTAGTAAAAGGTTATTATTGTATATATTTAAGTATTGTGTGTGTATACTAATACGAAAAATAATGAACAATTTTTCCAAATTGCAATGAAAATAACTAACACTAAATAAATGACAAACTAACGAAACTAAACAACAACAAAAAAAACATACAGGTTTGGAATGAGCAGAGATAAAACATGATGACAGAATTTTCATTTTTGGGTCAATTATTCCATTAAATTTCAATAAACAGGAACACAGTTTCTCTAAGCAGGTCTTGAGGGTTTTACTGCAGTGGAGAAGGAACAAAAATACAGAACAAATATTAGCTGAACTGTCAGAAAGTGCAAGAAAAAAAATCTGCAAACACTGCATTGTTATGTAAACATATGTCAGTGTTTGATGGACCTCAGAAATGCTTTTACTGGATAAAGTTTACAGCTACATTTTTAACACATACTGTACATACACAATGATATTTACACAGCGGACGGAGGTTCAGTCTGATTGTAACGAATTGAAAAGTGCAAGCATAAACACAGAACATCATTGATTAGTTTAACCTTTACCCAGATGAAACACAGCTTCAATCAGACCTGTGTTGATATGCCCGGACCATCAGGGAACAGCCATAAACCACACGTGATTTACACGGACATGAATGCAAAGGCTGTCATGGAATCTATATTGAAAGAGTCAACATGGCAGTCAAATTAAGGTGATAACATCACCTGCTGTGGGTTAATGCATTATGCTTCTACTTTATGATTACTCTTTCAACAATGTCACCACATTCTACACGTTTGTAGCATTTATTTCTTTTCCCTGAGTTCTTATAGTTTTTGTTTCTCACGCCAAAAACACAATTGACCAATTTCTACCCCTTTTCTGACTCTTAGAATTAAACAGAATGTTATTGCTACTGTACCTTTATCACTAGCTGATTTGCTTATCACGTGTGAAATGTTTAACTATATGATGTTAATATGTAATGCAAGTAAACGTTTAATCAATATTCTCAGCCCTATAAAGACTGCTGTTGGATTAGCAAGTGAGGAACCGAATGTTCCCTAGTACAGCAAGACAAATTAGAGCCCACCTGTCATATATGAGGCCATCAA